TAACTATACCGGGCGGAGCCGGGTATGCCAGCTAGTCATTTTAATAATGAAATGAGTCACCTGCGTATGTCATTGATGATCTTGTATTTTCTATTTTCTAGACAGATATCCAAGCCTTCAACATGGAATCGTGTCTGAAGCTGGTTTGATCTCGTGTGCATAACCAAGTTGAGAAAAACAACCATCCATGGCGCACTTGCGCTTATGTTTACCTAGGAGCCATTCACCATGCTTGAAAAAGCTCATATGTCGTTCTTTCGTTTCGTTCACGCCCGAGATTAGAATGTTTTTCGGCAAGAAATGACGCAGAATATATGAGAGAGCGAGGTCATGCTCAGAAGCGTTTCGAAGAGCAAGATTTGGGGGGTTTTCTGGAAGTTTCAATGGAAGATTCGTAGTTTTGTTCACATGATTGACTAAGATAACATGTAGGCAAAGTTTTAGCTATTTATAAATCAGTATTAAAAATTTCTAAAATGATATTTGCTTATAGCTGGCTCACGTTTGGTGGTTAACCGACGACGCCAAGAAGGTAATCCGGTGCTGAAATACGTGAGAAATGTTCGTTACGAATGGGGTGAAATAGGAACCGATTTCGAATGTGGGCCAACATGCGGAGTACTGTATTTGGCATTAAAGGTGAGTTCTCACTGGCTAAAAATATGCGTGCAGAGTTATGGCAAAGATTTTTCTGCTTGTGGGAAAAAAGGGATGAACGAGCGCTTTTGCTAAATCTCTTGGAAAGTTGTGGCATTTCTCAAATTTTTCGCAAATTTTTCCGGGCTTCGAAAGATTTCGAGTTGGGAGTGCAAACTCAGAATCTGCAGATTATACTCTAAATTTTGTGGTCCATAGAGTCGGGAAGGAAGGAACTGTATGACTCAAAGGCGTCTAGATCAGTGCGCTGCAATTAGCGCCGAATTTTGAGCTGCCATCGATCTACGTAGGATTTACCAATGTATTATGTTTTATAGTACCACAAACTTCATCCAAACTACATCCTTACTCGTCTTTCCGGAAAAGAAGAAAATAAGTATGCCTGCAAGGTACGTATGCAGCCTTTGAATTCTGATTTGCACATTACTAGTCCTATTCAGATGTGACCGGAGAAATAAAATTCTGCTGTTTCAGATACTTTTAGCCCTTTGCAATGTTGATGAACCGCGGCATACTTTACGAGAGTTGAATTTACTGTGTTATCGCATGGACTGGACACTGGTACTTTGCTATTCGGTGAGTTAAAATGATTTTTCTCTTTGTGCCTGTGCCTTCCTTGTAGGTATACATTTGCAGTTATTCTAAAGCTTTCTCTTTCCATACCTTGCAGCGACTTATGCAAAGTTAGCTCTTCTTTGTTCATTGTCTTCTTTTTTTCAGGTTGAAGAAGCTGCCGAATACATCGAAAATCTGAAGCTAGCAGACAACAGGGATCCAACTTTCAAGTTCGTATCGAGGCATCTCACTGACTACGTAAATCTGCGCAACTTTTAGGAAGCCAGTATCCGTACCTGTTGACGAACGAACTTCACTGCAAAACGCGGCTATCGGAATCCTTACTGGAGCCAGGAGCGTGACAAAATCGGATGCACAGAGGTATGAAGTAATGGTAATAATAAGACCTAGTAAAATTGGAGAGTGGGGTGGAGAAAGGACTAGATTGTCCTAGTCTCCACGTTCCGTAATCATTAAACCTGGGCATCTTCGTAAGTGTCG